TAAAATAGTAATTTTAATTTACTATTAAAATTTAATTAGTATATATATATGTGTGTGTGTGTGTGTGTGTGTGTGTGTGTGTGTGTGTGTGTGTGTGTATGTGTATATTTTTTTTTTAAATTTTCAAAATTATAACCATTCAGATGATGCAAGATAGCAATAACTCCATATGGGGGCAGCACCGTCTATGTTGTAATATATATTACAAACTTTTGTTCGATATTGGAAGTATTTGGAGTTGCATTTTATTAGATGTAAAGTAACTTCTTGAAGGGTATTTGTGTAAGGTAGATTCGCTTTTAGTAATCGCTCTAAAATATCATTCGAATAGTGAAATAGTGTTTGTACGTAAAATATATGTATTTGAACATTCCCCGACATATTAGTAGGTTACGAAGGTGTTCTAACCTCATTCTTTACGTTTAAACAGAAAAAATAAATATAATAATTCACTGGAAAGCATTTTTTAATAGCTTTGAAACGATCTTGTTGATATTATACGACATATTTTTACATTTCGTACATCATATTTGCTATTGTAATTGATATAAATAAAACGTAATAGGCTGTGCAATTGACTTTTTGTCATATATATATGTATATGTATATATTTTGTGTCTTCATTCAAAATGTGTTTATTAACAATGTATTTTATTGATATTTAATCGTGCAAGTGATAAAATATGTTTCTTTGAATTGAAGAGAAACTGTGGAATAATGATGATTGCATTAAAAAGTAGAATAATTAAAGACGATTCGTGAATATATGATTCGCTTGAGTTCTTTGCTGTTTTAGCATAAGAATAAATTTGGGGTACATAAGTGATAATATACTCACATTTTGGCACAGAATAAAATAAGTATGAGTTATCACCGTGGAGGGGGTAATAAGCCAAAAGGCTTGGGTTTGCCGGCTTTCAAATGACTGGCACAAAGAGAAGTGGTTCTAACGTACCACCACCTCCACCAAATTCTGCTCTAAGCAAACAAGGCTATCATACTATGAATTCCATCACTGAAAATGCTTTATCTGCATGTTGGGGAATGCCAAAGAAACGTAGCAAAACCGAGGAAGAGTGAGTATAAATATAAAGAAATTAGAAGAGATCAAATGCAAAGACAAATTCAAATGCAAAACTAACGGGTAAAATTAGATATTTTGAGGATGACGATGATCCTCCACCATACTCCTTGGAATATATTCCGGCGCCTGGATCTCCCACTTATGATTGGATGAAAAAATCAACACCAAAGGAAGATAGCGATAGTGAAGAAGATCCTCTAGATGCATTTATGGCTGGTATAGATGCGGAAGTTAAAAAAAATAATTACGAAGCTCAACTGGCTGAAGATGAACGAAAAGAAGAGAAATCTAAGGGATTCAGAGCGGATATTGATGGTGAGGATGATGAAGAGAGTTATTACAGGTAAGAGTTCCATTAATTTTCTTAATGGTATAAGAAAATATTCGAGAAAAGGAATAACGAATTATTGATTAGGTATATGGAAGAAAATCCAACCGCGGGTTTGCAACAAGAGGAATCTGATCAAGAAATCGAATACGACGAAGACGGGAATCCAATCGCTATTCCAAAAAAAAAGGAGATAGATCCCTTACCACCTATCGATCATAGCGAGATACAATACGAATCTTTCGAGAAAAACTTTTATAACGTTCACGATGAAATTGCTAATTTAAATAAGCAACAGGTCGACGATTTAAGAAAAACTTTAGGGATAAAAGTATCTGGCCCATCTCCGCCAAATCCGGTTACCAGTTTCGGTCATTTTGGTTTTGATGATGCATTGATAAAAGCTATTAGAAAAAACGAATATACTCAACCTACTCCTATCCAAGCTCAAGCAGTTCCTGCCGCACTCAGCGGCAGAGATATAATAGGTATAGCAAAAACTGGTAGTGGCAAAACAGCAGCTTTTATTTGGCCAATGTTGGTTCACATTATGGATCAAAGAGAATTAAAGGAAGGTGACGGACCTATAGGTTTGATTCTTGCTCCTACAAGAGAATTGTCACAACAGGTAAATAAAAAATTGTCACAAAATATAAATATTATCTCCTAGAGACAAATTCATGCAGTATGTTCTATTCACAGATTTATCAAGAAGCAAGAAAATTTGGAAAAGTGTATAATGTTCAAGTATGCTGTTGCTACGGTGGAGGTAGCAAATGGGAACAAGTAAAGCATTGGAAGGAGGTGCAGAGATAGTAGTCGCAACACCGGGTAGAATAATAGATTTAGTTAAAATGAAGGCTACAAATTTGACCAGAGTAACATTTTTGGTATTGGATGAAGCTGATAGAATGTTCGATATGGGCTTTGGTAAATATATCGTTATATTGTAATTTAATAATATTATAATATGGGAGAAAAAAGAATCGTTTTCTTCATCGATTGTACGTGGTTGTTGGGAAACTTTCAATCTATTAATAATACTTTTATTTTGTTTGTTACCGCTCTGTTTAATTCCAGAGCCGCAAGTGCGTTCTATATGTAACCATGTAAGGCCAGACAGGCAAACATTGTTGTTCAGTGCAACTTTCAAAAAGAGGGTAGAAAAGCTTGCGAGGGACGTTCTAACGGATCCAGTTAGGATAGTTCAAGGGGACGTCGGTGAAGCGAATGCCGACGTCACACAACACGTGATAGTATTCAATAATAATCCAACCGGTAAATGGACATGGTTATTGCAAAATCTAATTGAGTTTTTAAGCGCTGGTAGCTTATTGATTTTCGTAACTAAAAAGGTCAGCAACTGTGATATAGATGAAAACAATACTCGACCAATTTTTCTAATTGTTCCATCTTTTTTTTATCATAGCTCAATGCAGAAGAACTTGCGAATAATCTTAAGTTAAAAGAATTTGATGTTTTACTTTTGCATGGTGACATGGATCAAATTGAAAGAAACAAAGTAATAACGGCTTTTAAAAAAAAAGAAGTCAGTACATTAGTTGCTACTGATGTTGCGGGTAATTATATTCTTACTTTAAATTTAATAATTTTATTAATTAATTTTAAAACTTGTTTCAATCTTACGTAGCTCGAGGTTTGGACATTCCACATATCAGAACCGTTCTCAATTACGATGTCGCTAGAGATATCGATACTCATACACATAGAATAGGTAGAACGGGTAGAGCAGGCGAAAAAGGAACAGCGTATACTCTTGTAACAGAAAAAGATAAAGAATTTGCTGGTCATTTAGTCCGAAATTTGGAGGGTGCGAATCAAGAAGTACCAAAGAGCCTTATGGATTTAGCAATGCAAAGTGCTTGGTTCCGCAAGTCAAGATTCAAAGGTGGAAAAGGAAAGAGTTTGAATGTTGGAGGAGCTGGACTTGGATTTAGAGGAAGACCAGAAGCTTCTTCGACATCGGTGTTTATTCATTAAAATCTATTTAAATTTTCTTTTCAAATTTATATATGGGGTTTAAAACTTAATCGAATTATCATTTAGAGTTGCAGTTCCTCATCGCAAGGATCGAAGGACATAAGTGAAGTTGTTAAAAAATTAGAAAGACACGGGCCAGGTAGTGATCGGTTGTCAGCCATGAAAGCTGCATTCCGTAGTCAATACAATTCTCAAGTAAATTTCATTTCGATACGATCATTTATATAGAATATAGAATTTGGAATGATATACGAGAATTGATTTTCAGTTCCGGGCATCATCAGATCACACGTGGGAACAAACTATTACGCGACCTTCGGTGATAATGCCTCCACCACCTCCTGTACCTCCAAAACCAAATACGGAACAATCAAAAACTCAGGATACACAAGCTTCCGGAGGAGAAAGGAAGAGAGTGAGAAAAAGTCGATGGGAATGAATATTAGTGACCGAGAAAGAGATGCCGCAATTATTTTGTGTATATTAATATTATTATCGCTAATAACATGTGCGACGAATGCCGAATTGTTTTTATATTATAATAAGATTTAATTTTACCAAATCTTTGTCCAATTAAAATTTCTTTCTTTACCTATCATATTTTCGAAGAATTTAAAATAATAAAAATATAGGATAGTAAATAGTTTCCGAATGAAAATGAAAAGGAACTGATTCGTATGAATTGAAGGAGATCCAAAACCGATGCAATACATGATCCTTAACGATAAGAACTTTTTATTGTCGAGATATCTTCGATACAAAATTGAACGAATCATTTAAAATTTAAATGAGATATACTAAACCGAACCTTTTCAATAACCTAATTACTACTATGATATAATGATGTTAATATTTTTGTTATGCCAATTAAAAATGTATTTAAATAAGTTTCTATAAGTACCAAAAAATTAATAGAAACATAGTTGTACCGTAGAAAGATAATCTCTGATAAATGAGCAATTTTTTTAAACGCAAAATTCGCGTTCTTTGTATAACATACAGTTAAGCTCAGCTTTCCGTTAATTCACATTGAATCTGATTTAAAATTGACACAATCGATACTTCCTTCCTGTCATTCGATCGGTATACCATTTTTCGGTTAAAATTAAAAGTTTCGTTTTCTTGGTTATTCAAATACACATAATGTATCCACGTGTTCATCGATACTACGCACTTGGAAAAAAAGTAGTTCTCGAAGATCGCTCGATATGGAGATTAAGTCAAGGATAAGGCTATGACGATCAATCACGTTCGATCGCCTTCTTTGATCACGCAACACCCAGATGGGATTTTAATGACAGGTTTGTCGTTCAAGCATTTGATGACACACGTTTGCAAATTATTTATCCGCCAATTTGGTCCACTGAAAGATGACTACGTTACGAACGTTTATCAAAAATAAGTTACAGATTGATCCTAATCAAAGAATTCGCGTAAAAAAAAATTTAGCCATTTGATTTCCGATATGAATCACCGTAATATTGGAAAACGCCAAAAATTTTGGAATCAGTCTTCGTGGAAGGAAAATCTATTTCTATGGATTAATATATTGAGGCATAGCAGGACTGCTTTTCCTTCTAATTTTTCCGTTTTGTTGCGAACCGTTTAACTGACCGACAGGTTTCTTATTCGCATCGTTGTTTTTGCTAAATTTCTCCATCGCTCTGTTATAAGATCCCGTGCAAACTCTGCCCCAAAGTCTTTTGTCTTCCGCATATTGTTTGTTTTTTCCTTCGCTTGAAGTTCTCTGAATCTCGGTTCTTCGTTGAACTTTGCCAAAATCTTCTTTCTCTAAAGATACGTTTGATCCCACTGTACTTCGTTGAACATCTTCCCAGGAGGCGTTCGCATCGGAATGCATGCTAGAGGGCGTTGGACAACTACTTTCACTGGACATCGAGGAAGATCTCGCAAAAGAAGGTGATACGACTAATTTCATTTTGTGATCTTCTTCCTTGGGATTCAAAGTTAAGGGTGGTTCGCTTTGTGCTCGACTACTTGACCGGTTCTCTCCTTCGTTCTTCTCCTGATTATCATTTAATGGCAAATTATCGTTCAAAATTATTTTCGTAATTGATGTTCTTTTTCTTAAATTTTCTAAATTCTCTTTCGGATTATTTTGACAACTATCTACCCGTTGTAAAATATCTTTCAAATTTACATTGATATTCTCCGTATTATATGTTGATTTTGTTCGATCTATATTTTGTATCTTCGGATTTTTAACGTTCGTCGTTACAAAAGTTGCCTTTTTAATTGAATCTTGAGAATCATTTTTCATATGGCACGACATTTCGGGATAAATATAATTTGGTAATCTTTCTTTTTGGCGAGTAGCAATCGTAGTCATCGAACGATCCGAATTATTTAGCGTCTTTTGAAGCTTGTCATTGGCTGCTTCCATTACACTCGATTTGGCTCCTTTCACGCACTGTTTGTACTTCTCATCAATCGTTGTATCGACATTTTCTTGAACCGTGGCTTCCGCAAAAATAGAATCTCCATTGATTTCTATTAACGGCAATGGACTCGACCACTCGGATGACCCGATGCGTTCATTCGATCCTTTGTTCTTTTGCTCTTCTATAGTATCGGGTTTCCTTGTGCCATTTTTGGAATCAGAACCAATGACGTTATCTTCATCTTCATCTTCGTTGCCCGAGTCGACAAAATTCTTCAAAATCCCCTCGTCTTTTTCGTTCTTTTTTCTCAATTCCTCCCAATTTTTTCGCGGCTTGTAACTCGTTTTCCGTCTCACGATCTTGCTCTCACTGATATTAATATCCGGTATGAACAGTCTCAAAGCTTTCGTTCCGGTCGGAAAAGTGACCTCGTTCACTCTCTTCTCAGTCATAATTGCTTCTAAACTCGTCCTCGAGGCGACTTCTTGATGTTTATTGAAGGCAGACACGAGTTGGGCCACGGTGTACTTTGGCTCTTCGGTTTCGGATTCGGTCGATCGATCTTCTTTGTCGTCCGATGTTCCAGAGTTGTTGGAGTGACTCGAAGCATCGGAGTGTTGTCGTTGACAGGGTCGTTTCCCGGCTACGAGATTCGATTCGGTGTCGCGGTTCACCGGAGTTTCGTCCGAGTCTTCGGTCAACGTGTCTGATTCGATCGATTTCAACGAATCCAAATTCTCCTCCGACTCGAATGCTCGATCCCTCGATTCTACATCTTCTCCTCGCACCTGTGTATATCTAGACGGTCGATCGTTAACCTCATTCGCGACTTTCTCGTCTGTCCTCATCGTATTCGAGTCGTCTTTCATCTCGTCGTTAACGTGCTCCTTCCTTTCGATCAATCTAGAAACATCGTCATAAGAACGGTGATCTCCTACGTTGGACGTATCTATTTCAGCACCTAATCTCTTAAAAATCGGCAATATATCCTCGGTTTTGGCTCGTTGGTAGCTCTTCCTTCTTCGTCTAAGACACTCGAGGCTTCTGTATATATCCAAAACTCCTTGAGACTTCGACAACGATCTCAATCCATACAGTTTCTCGCGCGACTTGCTGATCACGGGATTTATTATCATTCGAGGTTGCAACGAAGAATTTCGGGCCGAGGAGTTTTCGTTGAGCAAACACGCTTGGGACTGGATTCGATTCAAGCTACGTATTCTGGACAATAGTCCACGGCTGAGACTGTGATTTAAGTTGGCCTGCGACCGACTTTGCGCTCGATCGAGCAACCCTTGGGTCTGCTCCTTGTTGAGCAAACAACTCGCGCAGCTCAGATTCGTTCTGGACGAGTTCAAACTCGTTCGAGAATCGGCCGGGCTCGGAAAATCTTCCCCGCTACCCTCGAGACTAGATCGGCTTCCGGTGAGGCGATGACTCAGGCACATCTCGCTTTGACTCAACAGACAATCTTGCAAGCTTTGATCGGGATGATTCGATGATTCTTGGGCGTCGCTCGATAGATTCGCTTGACTGCTCGCCTGGCTCAAAAGCGCCGCCCTTCTTAGATTCTCCCGGCTGACAACTCGTTCCAGAAGAACTTCTCTCGATTTCGACAGGTATCTTCTGAGATGAGGCGACGCTTGTGTAGGCGCGCCGCGTAGCCAATCGTGACGCAGGCATTGTTTCGCGGTCATTCGTGCACTGAAACATACCGCGGTATCATTATGATTGATTTTTCCAAGCAACCATGGAATTCGAAACATTTGGTTTTCAATAATGTATAATAAGATGAGTAGAAGCAGGATTTCAAGCAACTCAGAGTTATTCAACACAATCGTATCTACGAGATCTTTTGTTACAACTGACTTGGTAAAGAAGATCGGTATATAAAAAATGGCCAGATTATGTACAATTAAAACAAGAAATTTCATCTTCCTCCTAATTACTTTAAACGAAAAATTCAAAATCTCAAAATTTTTGAAAGACTTGATGAAAGACATACGAACTTTTTCTTCTCTTTTTCTTTTTCTCTTTCCTAATGGGAACTTTCAAATCTTGCGAGTAATTTGTAAAAGGAATTTTAAGAATTTTAGATTTAAAAAATCATGTAATTATTGTTTATAATAAGGAAGATTTCGACTTGGATTTACCTCGGGTCCAGCACCAAAAGCCTCGCGACGAAATCTTTCGCCTGCGCCGATATGTCGCCGAACAATTCCTCGGGAAAGTCTACCTCGCCCAGGGATATATTCTGAAACGTTTCTTGATCGGTTTCACCGCCGAAAGGGGAGAATCCCGTTAACAGAACGTACGTCGTTACACCCACGGACCTTGAAAAATAAACGATTCCATAAACGATTCGGAACAGGATAGGAAATTTAATAATCCGTGTGTTTACATACCACATGTCCGCGGCCAGAGTGATCGGTTCGTAGTGGAGAATTTCGGGTGCTGGAATTTTAAAAAAAAAGCATCGTCGAATTAGGCTAGGTGATATCATCCAAGGGAACGTCACATATATTTTTATTTGAGAAAAGAAATCGATCGCCCCGTAGGCGGTGACTGGCGCGATAGACGGAAGCTGTTGTTCCACGCTCCAAGTGACAGTTTACCGTGGCCGTAAACGTTTGTTAAAAACGTTGGATCGCGATTATTACACGTCGCGAGTGAGTTCTCTCAAGGCGTAAAGTTAATAAAATTCTTGTAGCGAGAATTAATTCGACGAGCACTCTCATGAATAAGGCATGGGAGACACGATCACGATTACCCGTCCTCGCGTTCATTTCGAGAAACGTTGAGCTCGATTAAGATATTCAACGATACGAGCTAGCTCTGTTATTCGACGAATCGATACGATCAACGAGGATAATGGGGCGCGTCAATTATATCGTTAAATATGCAACCTACGATCGTGAGCCTTTCATTCAACGAGCTTTATAGGATGCTCGAGAGATATTGCGTTTGAGGGAAACTCGATGAAAACGAGAAGTCAAACGAGTCGATCATAGACACGCGTATATTTTACAAAGATGTTTTTCTCAATCAATTACGATCAGATAATTTCGAACAACTTTTTCTTTTGCGAAAATTTTCCATTCGGTTTTATCCACGGTTATTATTGAAAAAAAGGTGACCAACGATAGCGTTGGATACG